GGAAGAGGAAGAGGGGAGCATGGTCTTTGGTGTCCTCTGAGCTTGGGGGCTTTCTTGCAGACGTTTCGTTACCCAAACCAGGTAACATTATGGGTGCTAGAAGGGAGGGGGGTTTGCAGAGAGGAAGAGGAGGAGGAGAGAGAGAGGAGGAGGGAGAGGGTTAGGGTAAGTGGGGTTTGCACAGAGGAGGAGGAAGAGGAGAAGGAGGAGGAGGAAGAGGAGGGGGGAATAGGAATGGGGAGGAAGAGAGCATGGTCTTTGGTGTTCTCTGAGCTTGGTAGTTTTCTTGCAGATGTTTCATTACCCAAACCAGGTAACATTATCGGTGCTAGACGGGAGGGGTGTTTGCAGAGAAGAGGAGGAGGAGGAGGAGGAGGGACTGTGGGTCCTTGGGGTTTTCCTGCAGAGGCTTCATTAACCTGACTGGGTAACATCATCAGTGCTAGAAAGGAGTAGGGTTTGTGTGGAAGAGGAGGGAGAGGAAGAGGAAGTGGAGGAGGAGGAGGAGAGAGAGGAGGAAGAGGAGGAGGAGAGCAAGGTCTTTGGTGTCCTCTGAGCTTGGCGGTTTTCTTGCAGATGTTTCATGACCCAAACCAGGTAACGTTATTGATGCTAGAAGGATGGGGAGGTTTGCAGACAGGAGGAGGAGGAGGCGGAGGAGGGGGAGAAGGAGGATTGTGGGGTCTTTGGTGGTCTCTGAGCTTGGTGGTTTTCTTGCACACATTTCATGACCCAAACTAGAAAATGTTATCAGTGCTAGAAGGGAGGGGGGTTTGCAGAGGGGAGGAGGGGGAAGAGGAGGAGGGGGAGACCCAATGTCCCTGCCAAACCGATCCACAAGAGGAATTTGGGGGAAGGCACCAACTCCTCTTACCTCACCCGGTGGCAAGGCAGCACATACCGCAAGTAGACGTTGAAAAGCCGCCGTTGCCATGTGCACGTGTGAGTGGGAGTTCTCACAGGAAAAGCAGGTGCACCCACAGTTCTCCGACAGCGCATGCGGCAGCCTCGGCAATCCGTTTGCCAAAATGTGCCACGGCACATTTGAGCGGAGGTGGTCATTCCTTACCGCAGGGCAGGGCCTCTCACCACGCAGGTTTTCAGCTTCCTCGGGACCACAGCAGGGCCCTCCAAGATCTCGGCTGAATTCCCACCAGCCACCTTGTCAGCTTTGGAAGCCATTTTGAGATCAGATGCTCCCACGCTGCCCCATCTGAGCCTGGGAAAGTGGAAGGGGGGGGGGAATATATTGGAGTATATCTAGTTAGACATAATAACATTCTTTTTCTGATTCAAGGTCAGGTTGCTTTGCACCTAAGTGAGAGGAAGTCTTAACTTGGGACGGATGGTGATTGGGGCATGTGATGCGATGATGGGTGTAGGGGATGGATTTCTAAATTTTACTTATTGTAAGGAAGCCCAAACTTTCAGATTCGGGATTCCCCAGTTGTGCCAGTTACCATTCAAATAAAAAGGAATAACTGTCTCAGAGTTATTGGGCGAATGGAGGGTTGCTGGAACGATGATACACTCCATTGATCTGGCCGGTTTCATGGGTCCTGTATCCACGTTTGGGGCATCCTTTCTTCTGAAAGTCTCAAAAAAATGCACAAGGGTAGATTTCTTCCTTTCCTGTCTTGTCCTGGGGTGCCAAACGATAGAGTGAGACAATTCGCCATGGCTAACTCACCGCGGGACAATTTAACAATTCAGTTTTAGTTATTTTAAAATAAAAAAATATATTTTAATTGTTATCATTTGCCTTTCATTCTGTCCCTCGTTTGGCATCCTTTCTTTAATTATTCTATTCCACCATTTCTTTAATATGAGTGTAACTCTTGTACCCTGATGAGTTGGCCATGGTGAGTTGGCTATGGTGAGTTGGCTATGGTTAGTTGGCTATGGTGAATTGGCCATAGTGAGTTGTCCATGGTGAGTTGGCTGGAGCTAGTTGGCCATGGTGAATTCGCCATGGTGAGTTGGCTGGGGCCAATTGGCCATAGTGAGTTGGCCACGGTGAGTTGGCTGGGGCCAATTGGCCCTAGTGAGTTGGCCATGGTGAATGGGCTGGGGCCAGTTGACTATGGTGATTTGTCCGGGGCCAGTTGGCCGTGGTGAGTTGGCCATGGTGAGTTTGCAGAGAGGAGGATGACAACTCTGGAATCCTTGGGGGGTGGTGAGCTTGGTGGTGTTTCATTATCCTGCTAGATAACGTCATCAGTGCTGGAAGTGAGCGGGGATGTGGAGAGGAGGAGGAGGAAGAGGAATAGGAGGAGAAAGCCTATGATGATGATGACTGTGGGGTTCTTAGGGGTCTCTGAGCTGGGTGGTGGTTTCATTACCCTACTAGGTAACATCATCAGTGCTACTTAGCTGTACCTGTAAGAAAACCACCAGTGCGCAGATAGCATCAAGAGTCCCTCAGCTTCCTTTTCTTTGCTACTTCAATAAATCACCCTGATGCTGGGGAATCTTTGCAAGATGCAAGGAAAGCAGCCATGGAAACCAATTGTGTTTCCTGGGAGATGCCTCCCTGCATGGCAACCAAAGGCACAACAATAAAAATGGACAATTCTGGGCAACGACGGTGCATCCAGGAGGCCAGAAACGCTCTTCTGAACCCTGGCGACCCGTTTGCTGTTCCTACAGCAACCAGAACACTGTTCTCATCCCATTCCCTTCTGGATTCCGAGGAGCTTCTAACAAATCAGAATAGGTCCTTAAAAGCAGAGCAGACATAAACGGGGTGGGAGGGGGAGAAAATTAAATGCACCACAACGGGACTGGTTGCACAGACGCAGCAACCTGGGAGCAAAGCCAGAACTGGAAGGGCCTCCTAGAACCCAGGAGATAATTCATGACCGAATTGGAGCCGCCTCCGTTTTAATTGTAGCTCGCTCGCCGTTGCTTTGAAAAGCAGAACCAGGTGGGCCTTGCAGTCCTTGTTGGCCACGTGCATTGGTGGGTTGTAGTGGGTGTCAACTCATAAAACGTTCCTATGCCTGTTTTAGGAGTTGCCATAAAAAAAGGGTGGGGGGAGGAGGAAGGAAATCTGGAAGAGCAGTGCAACAGTGTGAAATCGAAAGTACATTCCAACTCTTCATCTTTAAAAGTTTGTAACTAAACTACTGGAGCTTTTGTCCGCAAATATATTTGTTGTGGTTCACCGGCAGCAAGGTGTGGACAGCTGAGGTCTCGGAGAGCGAGGACTCAGATGAGGGGCCTGGACCATCAGGGAGTGGAGTGCTGTCTTTGGAGGTTGTGGAGGCTGGCAGTAGTGATGATGAAGTCCCCGAGGAGCCTGTGCCAAGTGCGCGTGCGTGCAGGGCTGCTCGAAGGAAAGAGCAGCCGCAGCAGCACAGGCAGACTCGGGAGTAAGGCTGCAAGGTAATGGCCCCTCCTTTAAGAGATAAAAGCCAGCTGAGAAACCAGAGTTCTTTGCAGGAAGCAAAGAAGTTTTTGCACTCAAGCCTTGTGGACTCTCTTAGTTTGTGTTTGGAGACTTTTTGTTTGAAATATTTCTGAGTAACTTTATCTAGTGTTCTTGTCAGCTTTGCACCACCTTGGCAAAGCTTGTTCTTATCAGACACAATTAGTTGGAAACAGCCTTTTAACCGGGAAGGAATGGAATTTGTAAAGAATCATGAAAAGGTTTTGCTGTTACCTCCGTCTGGTGTTTGTTTCCTTGGAACAAGTTTTGGGTCAGAACAATATTTAATTGGAGAACGTGAATGATGACACCCAGCCTGTGAACGTGCTCAATTGGAGAATCTGGTTTATGAGACACCCAGGAGGGAGGGGGAAACAGGGTAACAGGTGACTGTAAATTACATATGCCAGAGTTGGCTTCATACAGGGCAGTGCCAGTATGTCACCTCAATTAAATCCTTTGACATTTTTTGAAGTTTGGCTCGAGAATCATGATTTAATTAGAGCGATTGCTGGAATCCTGACAGTGGGCTGCGCTCAGATGCATAACATGGCTGAATGGAGGCCTCTTAGAACAGGGGTGTCAAACTCGAGGCTCGGGAGCCAGAGCCGGCCCACAGGGTACTTAGCCCGCGGCCCTTCCGAGCTCCGTTTTCACCGGCAGAGGGTTGCAGGAGACCGTGGCAGCCGAAAACGGAGCTCGGGAGCCCGTTTTTGCTGGCAGAGCACTCGGGCTGCCACAGGCGCCCCCGACACGAGTGACATCGATCTGGCCACACCCCTCCCCCCCGAGGTCAAACACAACCCTGATGCAGCCCTCAGTGAAATGGAGTTTGACACCCCTGATCTCGATGGTTGGCTTCTTCTTTCAAGAAGCTCCTTATCTCTTAAGTGCTGGCATCTGCTGTGGGGAGGCCAGCTTTCTGCCTCTAAAAAAACATGTTTCTCCATTTCTCCTTGAGGGAAATATAATATTCTGCCTTTTTAATATTCCTCAAAGTATTTCATTCTTCTAGGAAGAGGGGGGGTTGCTTCCCACACGGCTTTTGAAAGTTTTATCTGTATTTTTTTTCTGTTTTTTTTCCCTCCGGTCTTCAATGGGTGTCTTCCACAATTTCCTCCCTTTCACAACTTGAGAACATAAGCCACAATTAAGGGAAGGGGTAGCTAATTACATTTATTTGTATGAGTAGGAGGGATAAGCAGTACCGTAGTTTGAAACATCTGCCGTTACAATCCAAAACAGAAATCTGGAATTTCCGAGCAAAAGAATTCAACTGGAACCTCCTTTGCAATCTTTCTTGCTGATGTTTGAGGTTGTGGTCGGTGTTTTTGTTGCCTTTGCCAGTTTGTCTCCTGAGGTCTCCTGTGGTAGTTGCCATCAACAAAGATGGTGGAGTGACCAGGAATGTTGCCAAAAAAAAAAAAGACAAAGTGCACATGAAAAGAGTAGATCCTTGCCTGCTTTTGTCGAAACAACAATCTTGACACACACACACACTGTGGATGTTCCTGGATCTAACATGCTTTTGTGGGGGCGGGGGAGGCTGGGCTAACATACAAGATATCACATGAAGGAGATGAGGTAGGAGAAGGGTGGCAGAGACTGGGGGCAGAGTCAAAAGAGGAATTAGCCTAGGATCCTTATGTAGTCACAAGCGAACTAAATCCAACGTCCCCTGAATTCTGTTGATCCTTATCTGACTCCTAGAAGGGTCTAACCAGAACTTGAGAAGATTCCTATTCATAAAAGGATAAGCAATAAATCCATCTTTCCTTCCTTCTTCCTTCCCTCCGTCCCCTTTCATCTCCCACCCTCCCTCCCTCCATGTCTCCTTCCTTCCTTCTTCTTCTTTTCTATATTCCTCCCTCCCTGTCTCCTTCCTTCCTCTCTCCATCTCTCCTTCCTTTCTTCCTTCCTCTTTACTATATTCCTCCCTCCCTCCAAGTCTCCTCCCTCCCTCTCTCCTTCCCTCCTTCCTTCTTCCCTTCCTCCCTCCCTCCCCTTCATCTCCTTCCTTCCTTCCTTCCTTCCTTCCTTCCTTCCTTCCTTCCTTCCTTCCTTCCTTCCTTCCTTCCTCTTTTCTATATTCCTCCCTCCCTCCATGTCTCCTCCCTCCCTCCTTCCCTCCCTCCCCTTCATCTCCTTCCTTCCTTCCTCTTTTCTATATTCCTCCTTCTCTCCCTGTCTCCTCCCTCCCTCCCCCGTCTCTCCTCCTTCCTCTCCTCCCTCCCTCCCTCTTTCCTATCTTCTTTCTTCCACTATATGTCTCCTATCTTGTCATGGGTCTCCTGTAGGAAACTCTCCCCCCTCCCCCGTGCAAACCGGAAAAAAAAAAAACTAAAAGGAAGTAAAATGACAAAATAAGCAAAGAAAAAGGCGTTTCAATCAATGCCAGCTTCTAACACTTCTCTCTCTCCCTCTCCCCGCACAGGTTGGAATGGGTGGAAATCATTGAACCTCGCACACGGGAGCGTATGTACGCCAACCTCATCACGGGCGAGTGCGTCTGGGACCCTCCCGCCGGCGTCCGCATCAAGCGCACCAACGAGAACCAGTGGTGGGAGCTCTTCGACCCCAACACCTCCCGCTTCTACTACTACAATGCCACCACCCAACGGACGGTGTGGCACCGGCCGCAGAACTGCGACATCATCCCTCTGGCCAAGCTGCAGACGCTGAAGCAGAACACCGAGTCGCCTCGGGCCTCCACCGAGAACAGCCCCGGGCGCAGCACCAATGTCAGCCGTGAAGGGAGCACCAGCTCCTCTTTGGAGCAGGAGCTGGAAGGAGGAGAAAAAGTCCCGGAGCAGAACCGGCCCAGCCGGCAGCCGACTCCGTTTGCCATCGTTAAAGAAGAAGCAGAAAGGTAATCCAGGGCAAATGGAGCCTCGGTTGGTATTTCACGATGTAAACGAAGACTCGGGCGTCCACGGTCTGAAAAGGTTAACGTTCTGGCCCGGATCCCCCAAACCCTCTGACGTGAACTCTAAAGCAGTGGCCCCCAACCATTTTTGTGCCGCGGCCCGGTACCGGCATCACAAAATGATCCGCGGCCCGGTACCGGCATCAGCACGCATGACAAGGCAAGGCGAGCCGAGCGACTGGCCAGCCAGCCGTCCCCCGCTTCTCCCCGCCACCTTCAACTCCTCCTTTGTACCTTTGTCGATGGGCTTCGCTTCGGGACGGCTTCGGGACGGTCGCTCGGCTCGCCTTGCGTTGCGCCTTAGTTTCGTTCGAAGCCGCCCCCCCTCGATGAAACTAAGGTGCGAGGATTCCTTCAGGACCCAAACGCCGCTTTCCAACCGGAAAAGCTCACCTGGAAGCACTTTCTCGTCAAACAAGATGGCGGCGCCCAGCAAACCGGCGGCCCGGTAGGAAATGTTCCACGGACCGGTACCGGTCCGGGACCCGGTGGTTGGGGACCCCTGATCTAAAGGACTTAGAGTGAAAGAGTGCCCCAAAATGGAATGCGCATGCATGTTAGCGTGCCAGAGCCCCAGAAACCTGAAGACCAGGTGGCTGCTGTGCGCATGCATTCATGTTCTTAGGCTGTTTTGGGGGGGGAGTTTTTGGCCTGGAAATGGCCTGGAAAATGGCCCAGAAAACAGCCTGGAAAACAGTCCAAAAAACGGCCATAAAGCAACCAGAAAAAATGACCTGAAAACAGCCTGAAAAGGGCCCCCAGAACGGCCTGTTTTTTCGCCATTTTTCTGTGCCGTTTTCCAGCACTCCGGTGCCCATAAAGACCACCTAACTAGCCCTAACAAGAAGAGCAGCTGGTGACGGTGCGCGTGGCCACAGCGAGGGCTCTGCGGGCCACCTCTGGCACACATGCCATAGGTTCGCCATCACGGGTCTAAGGTCTCCAGCTTGAGCAAGGGGTTGGACTAGAAGACCTCCAAGGTCCCTCCCAGCTCTATTCCGATAGCCTTCTGTCCTTCCAAGGTGGGTAAAATGAGGACCCAGATTGTTAGGGGGACCAGAGGCTGACTCTGTAAACCACTTAGAGAGGGCTGGAGAGCACTGGGAAGTGGTATATAAGTCTTAAGTGCTATTGCTATAACAACTGTAGCGATTCCCTTAACAACAGGAAAAGGTCGTAAAACGGGACAAAAACCCACTTAACAACTGTCTTGCTGAGCAGTGGAAATTTGTGGCTCAGTTATGGCCGTTTGTTGAGACAGGACCACTTGTACAAAAAATACAAAAAGACATTAAAAATCTTTAAAAGCACAGGAAAAAAAAATCTACCTCCTCTAAAAAACGATGGGGGATAAGATAAGATAAGATAAGATAAGATAAGATAAGATAAGATAAATTTATTGTCATTGTACTCAGGACCTGAGAACAACGAAATAAGGTGCTCTTTCACAACATACAACTGAACAACACCAAAAGACATATACAAATAACAATGTAAAACAAATTAAAACAATTAACAGTTAAAAACTATACAACCAGGATATATATATGTTAAGACCACCAGATTCATAACTCTGCATTTCTCACTCTTAAAATCCAATCTATCGTCCTTCGATGATTTTCTCTGATATCTTCCGCTCTCCCTCTTAATTAGCAAAAAGTAAAAATTAACCAAAATGTAATAATCCCTCTTTTCATTTCATGTAAATCTCCCTTAAACCTCTTTTTTTTAAAAAAAAAAACGCTTTTTTACTCTTTGAAGATTGGAATGCGCTATCTTTGCCGCGCCATCCATTGGGAGCTCCGAGCAGCGGCTCATTAATATAATTAATAATAGCAATTATCAGATCTGTGCCAGGAGTAATTAACCACCAGCGGGGGGGGGGGGGGGGGGGGGGGGGGGGGGCAGGAGGGGGGGGTGGTGTTGGGCGGGGGTCTTTTCCCATTCTCAGCACTAGGGGATGAGAACTTGGTAGCAAAGGGGGGAGGGTCCCTCAAAATGTGTGCCTAGGCCAGTGGTGGCTAACCTTTTTAGGCTCTTGTGCCAAAAATTGCATGCTTGCGCTTGCATGCCAGCACCCAGAAAGCGATGCGCGTCCCCCACGCCCCCTATGCATGCGCGCGCTACCCCACCCACCCCGCTGCCCCCTTACCTGCACTGTGCCTCACAGCTGATTTTTGGGTGGTTTGAGGCCTTTTTCGGCCTCCCAGAGGCTTGAGGAAGGCTTCTGCAGGCTTTGCAGGCCGAAAACTAGGCCCGTTTCGTCACTTCCGATATTTTCGGTAAAAGGGGAAGTGATGAAATGGGCCTAGTTTTAAGCCTGCAGAAGCCTTCCTCAAGCTTCTGGGAGGCCGAAAATCAGCTGTGAGGGACCCAGGAACGTGGGCAGAGAATACAGACAGTCCTTGATTTACGACTACAATTGTCCCCAGCATTTATATATCTAAACAAGACTGATGTCAGGATTCTAGCAATCGCCTTAAGTAAATCACGAAGCTCGAGCCAAACTTCAAAAAACTTCAAAGGGTTTATTAGGAGCGATATACTGGCATTATATAGAGCACTTGCACACCAGAACAACTAGACACAAGGACAGTTTTTTCCCCAAACGCCATCACTCTGCTAAACAAATAATTCCCTCAACACGGTCCAACTATTTACAAAGTCTGCACTACTATCACTATTAATCTTCTCATCGCTCCTTATCACCCATCCCCTCCCACTTGTGATTGTATGACTGTAACTTTGATGCTTGTATCCTTACGATTTATATTGACTGTTTCCTAGTATGATTTGATTGCTTATTGTACCCTATGACTATTATTAAGAGTTGTACCTGATGATTCTTGACAAATGTATCTTTTCTTTTATGTGTACTGAGAGTATTTGCACCAAGACAAATTCCTTGTGAGTCCAATCACATTTGCCAATTTCTATTCTATTCTATTCTATTCTATTCTATTCTATTCTATTCTATTCTATTCTATTCTATTCTATTCTATTCTATGATCTGTATGAAGCCGACTCTGAGATACGTAATTGAGAATCACCTATGAGCCTCCAGAGGCGGAAACGACTAGCACGTATGTGCGAGGGGAACCTTTACCTTTTACGACCCTCTTTCTTATGGCAACTTGGAAACGGGCATAGGAATGTTTTACAAGTTGGCAACTGTTTTCCCCCCATTTTATGACTTTTCTTGGCACTGTTGCTAAGTGAATCATTGCAGCTGATAAGTTAGTCACGCAATCATTAAGCGAATCTGGCTTCCCCATTGTCTATGGTGGTCAGAAGGTCGCCAAAGGGGGACCCTGCAACCGTCATAAATACAAGTCAGTTGCCAAGCTTTTGGATTTTTAGCAGGAGGAAATTTGGGCTGCATTGATTTCTTCGTATAATACAGCTTTGCCCTGGACTTACGACCACAACCGAGCTGGATATTTCTGCTGCTAAGCAAGATGGGATACCTTGCAACCATTGTTAAGTGAGAAATGAAGTGAGCTTTGTCCCATTTTACGAATTTTCATGCCACCGTTAAGTGAATCTCGGCAGGTGTTAAATTAGTCACATGGTCATTAAGTGATTCTGGCTTCCCCATTGCTCGTCGGAAGGTCGCAAAGGGGGATCGTGTGACCTTGGGACGCTGCAACTGTCATAAGTCCATGCCAGTTGCCGAGCCTCCGAATTTCAATCATGTGACCACGGGGATGCTGGGACGGTTGTAAGTGTGAAAAACATCGTGAGTCACTTTTTTCAGTGTCCGTTGTAACTTTGAACCGTCACTAAAGGTAAATTACAAGTTGAGGGCTACCAGGCCGGATTAGGAGAAGGAGCCCAGGGCAGTTTATGCTGACCATAATTTCTGTCGCAAGTGGAAGTGGAAATTATTTTCGCAGACACATTGGCACCGCATGGTTGTATTTTAAGAAAGGTATATTTCTGCTTCCTTTCTAACCTGAATTTATCCTTCAGCTGGGTTTATCCAGGGCTGGAGGAAGAGAAAAACACCTATTATATTCCTTTCTGAGTCATCCCTTGGTTTGTGCATTTTTGACCTGCACAATTTCCTTCCCTTGCCTGCCAGCGTGCACAAAGATGTTCAAGGAGAAGGCTTGGACCACGGGTGTCATGCCCCTGTCGGAGTCTGAATCCAAGGAGGAAGACAAACAGCAGACAGGGAGGGGGAGTGTGGCTCCATTGGCTGAGGAGGAAACTGGGGAAGGGCAAAGTCCGTCTGGGCAGAGGAGGGAAGAGGTAGAACAAGGAAGAGGGAATTCAGAGGAAGACCCAGCCCCACCCCCTCTTCATCCTTGGGCACATAGGGAGGAACGGAGAAGAGAGCAACATGGGTTGCATGGATTACGGGGGAGGAAAGGGCCCTGATTCCCTTCATTAGCCACAGCTGGGAATGAGAGTTTAAAAGAGATGCAGGCTGAGTGCGGCAGCTGCTCGGAGCAAACATGGTTTATCTCTGTTCCTGGCGTCTTCCTAACCAAGTGGAGTTATTGCCGTGCCTTCACATCTGGAATTCTTGCTCCTGCCCTGCCGAACTAATTACTTCATTTTGCCTTGATTGGACTTACAGTTACAGTTTTTGTTGACCATGTTTTGGACTTGATTCTCTGCAGCCAAAGGCTATTTGCCTGGGAGAGTTTTTTCTGCAGCCCAGAAGGTTAACCTGGACATTGGGGGCAAAGTTGGCGCTAATAAAGGGACCCCTACTGATTGTCTTTCAGTGTTGCCTTTGTGCCATGGCCCTTTGGGTCATCGCAGGGCTGCCATCGTTTGCCGCAAATATAACCGGTGGGAAATGACAACCTCGGTGTGGCCAAGCAAGGACCGCTGCTTCCATGCGCCCATCTCCGAAAAGGTCTCTAAGTTTAGCTGATTATCCCCGGGAATACTTTTTTCACTTCTCCATGCCATTATAAGTCAATTTATTC